CAACTGTTTCTGGTTTCGTTTCTATAGTTACTTTACCTTTTTTTTTTGGTAAAGAAAACTTTGCAAGTTTCGGTTCTTGGCCAAGTCCTCGCCAAATGAGAAGCGATGTTAAAAAAAAAAAAAAAGAGGGAAAAAAAAGGTAAAGTAGGAGAAAGTAAACGTGAACTGAAAGAGAAGGGGGAGGGGGGGGGGGTGCAAAATCTGCGCGCAAAAGAGGGTGAGAGGGAGGAAGACAGACGAAAAAGAAAGAGCAAGTAAAAGGGATTTATCGGTGCTAGACTTATTAACTCCCGAGTGAAGTTAACATTAATCCTCCGGTGAACTCGCTTCGCGAAAACTCCGGCAATCTCAGTCGATCGACATAGACTTCCCTTTCCTTCTTTTTACCTAGTTAGAAGAATTTATTTAGACGGTTCATTTCGGTTCGGATAAATCCCTTATATATACCTATACATATATAGAAAAAGTAAGACATAAAACCAAAGTAACTTAATGGTTCTATTTTCCAACATTTTTGAACTTTCGTTAAAAAAAAATTTTTTGAAAACTTTTTGAAAATTTTTTTTTGTAATATTTTTTTTTTTTTTTTTTTTTTTTGAGAAAAGTTAACACTTTAGAGAAAATTAGCTGGTGGAAAAAGCTTTCATTAGTCATAATATTAGGGTTCAATAAAAAGAGTTTTGTAGCACATCAACTTTCTTTTTTTTCCCGTAGGCATGCCGTGTGGTTTATTTGACCCTTTGGGTCGTGAATTACAGTTGTAAAAGAAGGGAGGAAAATGGAGTTTCTTGCTGGCGTACTAGAGTCATTGTCCCCTGAAATGAGGCAATTAGGTGTTTCTTCCTTTCTCCTTTTTGCTTTAACACACATATACATGCAATTTTTTTTTACACCTATTTTCGTCGCAGCTTTATGCGTGAGAAATTTGCCTTACAAGATTTTTTTTTTATTTCGCCTCCAGTTTATAGACAAAACAAAAAAAGAAAAAAAGAAAAATAATTAAATTAATAATAATAATAATAATAATAATAATAATAATAATAATAATAATAATAATAATAATAATAATAATAATAATAATATATTTAATTTGACAATAAATATTTCGAGACCTTTAACAGAATTCTCATTGAATTGAATTTTATCTGACTTGAATTTTTAAAATGAAAGAAATTTCAATTCACCGAATTTTAATTTGTCCAAATTTTTATTTTTACGAATTTTCAATTGATAGAATTTTAAAAAAACGTCGAATTTTCATTTGTCCTAAATTACAAATGACTGAACGAACAATCGAAAGAAAAATTTCTGTGCAATTTTTGAAAATTGATCATTCACTATTTTCATGATAATTTCTAATTGGTCTATTATAAAAATTGAGCAGAAATTTTTCTGATAATTGTGTATTCGGTAATTTGTAATTTTGAACAAAACAAAATTCGGCCAAATGAAAATTCGCCGTTTTAAAAATTTGGACAAATAAAAATTCGGCGTTTTAAAAATTCAGACAAATAAGAATTCGGCGTTTTAAAAATTTGTACAAATAAAAATTTGGACAAATAAAAATTCGGACAAATAAAAAAACGTACAAATAAAAATTTGGACAAATAAAAAAACGTACAAATAAAAATTTGGACAAATAAAAATTCAGCGTTTTAAAAATTCGGACAAATAAAAATTCAGCGTTTTAAAAATTCAGACAAATAAGAATTCGGCGTTTTAAAAATTCGTACAAATAAAAATTTTGACAAACAAAAATTCGGCCTTTTAAAAATTCGGACAAATAAAAATTCGGCGTTTTAAAAATTCAGACAAATAAGAATTCGGCGTTTTAAAAATTCGTACAAATACAAATTTGGACAATTTAAAATTTGGACAAATAATCAATTCAGACAACTAAAAAAATTCGGACAAATAAAAATTCGTACAAATAAAAATTCGGCGTTTTAAAAATTTGGACAAATAAAAATTTGGCGTTTTAAAAATTCGAACAAATAAAAATTCAGCGTTTTAAAAATTCAGACAAATAAGAATTCGGCGTTTTAAAAATTCGTACAAATAAAAATTTGGACAAATAAAAATTCGGCCTTTTAAAAATTCGGACAAATAAAAATTCGGCGTTTTAAAAATTCAGACAAATAAGAATTCGGCGTTTTAAAAATTCGTACAAATACAAATTTGGACAATTTAAAATTTGGACAAATAATCAATTCAGACAACTAAAAAAATTCGGACAAATAAAAATTCGTACAAATAAAAATTTGGACAAATAAAAATTCGGCGTTTTAAAAATTTGGACAAATAAAAATTTGGTGTTTTAAAAATTCGAACAAATAAAAATTCGGCGTTTTAAAAATTCAGACAAATAAGAATTCGGCTGTTTAAAAATTCGTACAAATTAAAATTTGGACAAATAATAAATTCAGACAAATAAAAATTCGTACAAATAAAAATTCGGATAAATAAAAATTGGGCGATTTAAAAATTTATATAAATAAAAATTCGGTGAATTGGAATTTTGGTCATTTAAAAACTCAAAGCACATAAAATTCGATAACATGGGAATTCAGTTAAATAAAAATTCACTTAAATTAAAATACTTTTAAATAATTAAAATAAAAATGTTTGGATAAAATTTTTTTTCCAGTGTCAGGAATATCATTATTTTAATAGCTATTTATTTTCTTAATATATGATAAAAAAAAAAAAAAAATTGAAAATATTTTCCTTAATTTGATTTATATTAAGAGAGTTGCACAATCATAAAAGAATAAGGTAGTAAAAAATATCGATTATTTAATTATGCATCTCATAAATTTCATATCATAAAATTTTGTTATGGGCCATTCAAGCATTACGAATATAAGTGTCCATAAGGGTTGGGATTTTTTTTTTTTTTTTTTTTATATATTGTTTTAACGTTTTTCGCCATCATTGAGAACATTGCTTAAAAAAATCTCAGAAACCTAAATCAAATTTTATGATTGGGAAAAATATTTACGTTTGAAACAATTTATTATTTAAAAAAAAGAAATCAAAAAGTAAATTTTGATCGAGTGGTTGTTTTAGAGGAAAAAAAAAACTGCTTGATGTTCGTCTTAATATGAGTCGTGGCATCCTTAATCCAAAAGGCAGCAGTTGAGCTTCACTGATGCTGGGGAGCTTGCTTGAGAATGAGGACGAAATGGAGAAACGCCGGGAACGCTCATAAAGCCAGATGCGAACACGTGCCGTACATACTAAATAATCTGAGAGAGAGAGAGAGAGAGGGAGAACTAATCTCCCGATCTCATTGGCTAGCAATGTGCTTTAATCTTGCTTGAGATTCACACTAGATAGACATTTAATTGTCTTTAATTGAAATTATTTTTTATCATACAAAATGTTTTACGATAAAAAAAATTTGTTTGGTAGAAATTTTAATATTTTTTCAAATTTTCAAAATAACACCTCTCTCTCTCTCTTTCTATATAAGGATTTTTAACTTTTTGATTTGAAATTTTCTTTTCTTTTCCCTTCAATTCTATTTTCTGTCAAGGTAACGACGAGGTATAAAATTCCTTTGAAAAACGCAAAGAGGCACCTTGTTAGTTGTGCAACCCAAGTTATCGACTCAGGTTTCTGTGAGAGTTTGAAAATTTCAACGCTGACTCAAGTACTTCACATCCCATCGTTATTTTTTTTTCTCTCTCTTTCTCGAAACTATTATACAATATTCTTTTTAATTTGTACGATTTCTTCTCAATAGTCGTTGAAGACTAATAATTTTTTTTTTTTCTTTGTAACTTATATTTCATTTGTATATTGAAAGTCGTAAATATGGAAAAAAAAATTTTCTATTAAAGAAGCTTTGGAAAATTTATAAACAATTTTTTTTTACTCTTCTGATATTAATGTTTTTTTATTTAAAAAAAAAATTTTATTTGATTCAAATAAATAATTGTAAAAGAAATTAAAAAATTTGAATTAAATAATTTTCAATGTACTAAAATATGTTTTGCACACAATAGAGTTGTTAAAAAAAAATTTATTGGCATACTTTTTCATATAAAAAGCTTAATATTTTTTTATCACTGATACTTTTTTTTCTTTTTTTTTTTTTTTTGCCAAGTAATTCTTTGATCTTGACCATATATTATTGATATATAAGAAAGTATAGTATATCACGTAGTACTTTGACAGAAATGTACACACTGTCAAAAATTCTTTTATTTATATATATATATATATATATATATATATATATATATGAAAACGCGAACGACGTGATCACGAATCTGGGAGCAAAAGTTTCCTCATTTTTCGCGTGCGCGGATAGTCCAAAAGTTTTTCCTGAAATATCGAGAGAATCAATCGCGCGCACGAGTGCAGATCTTTTTCTTCTTCGTCGAGGAGAGCGACTTCCTCTTTAGAAACTTTCCCCCCCCCTCTTCCTCACCCCCTCTTCTCGAGAAAATATTTCACTCTTTTGCCTTTGTCAGTGCTGATTCTTTTTTACATTTTTACCGTTAAAAAATAATGAGTTTCCGTTAAAAAGCCCGCCAGCACACTTTTATTTTTTTTTTTGTGGTTTGCTATTGGCAAACTTGATATAATAAATATAAGTATTTTAATAATCATTTAATATTGCTCTCTCGATGTACTGAAAAAATTTATTTCATTCAAATAATCGACTATTATTCAAATAAATATTTAGTAAATAATTTTTTGAAACCAAATAAATTAATTACACAGAAAATTAAAATAAACTGCAACGCTTATTATTTTAATCCAATTTTGCATATTTTAATACAAAAATGAATTAAAATAATAAGCGTTGCAGCTAATTGGTTCAAAAAAAAAAAAAATTAAGTAATTTTTTGATGAAAATAAATATTTAAAGTTGAATCAAATAAATTTTTTTGACCATTTTTTTTAAAGTAGAAATTAATGTGTGTTTCATTTTTTTTTTTTTTGTTGACTGAAACTAATTTTATTAATACTAACCTATTTTTTTACAGACATATCCTACAAGCCACGACATCCCGTTATCGAGGGTAAGTTGTTTTCTTTAGATTTATTATTGTGTCATGAAAAGCTTATAAAAATGTATTATTAAATTTTTATAGCTTTTAACACTTCGATCTTGGAATGTTTTTTATGTTTATAAAATTCAATTTAAAATTTATCTGAAAAAAGTTATTTTATAATTTTTTTTTCTTTTATTATTTATCGAAAAAAAAAAAATCATAAATAAAGATAAAATTATCAATGAAGTCTGAATAAAATCCGGCATATTTAATTACTGAGTTTTTTTTTTTTAAACTTGAAAATTTCTCTCTATAAAATATAAATTTTTAATTTAATGTGAATTTACAAATAGAAATAGATTCGATAGTCAAGTTTTTTTTTATTACTATTATTATTATTATTATTATTTATAAACCCTATTCTTTATATTTTATATTAATAAATAATAAATGCGGGATTTTGTAATTGAGAAAAAAAAAATTTCGATCATTGTTTATTAAAAATTTTTTCTCCTTTTTTTCGATGATATAGAATATTGCATCAATTTTTATTTGAATTTGAAAAAAAAAAATTGAAACACAATCTTTGTTCTTTTGTCATAAAAATGCTGTTTCATTCCACTGAATAAACGAGCGATATTAGAGGATAGCAAAAATGGAGAGAACGCAGTCAGTGGAAAAAGGTGCAGTAAAAATTTCGCCAAAAATATTCTACGACAGGGTGCTGTTACTATAAATCGCTGCGTCCTGCCGTTCGTTTCACGTTGAAAAAAGGAGCAATAGTAAGAGAGCTTGGGGATCAGTGAGCCAAAGAGAGGGGAGGGGCACTAGAAAAAGAAGAAGCAGAATGCGACCGATAAATTACGAAAAAAAAGTTATCCGCAAGTACGCGTACTATAGGTCGACGAAGTCGACGAGAAAGAGAACGAATTTTATATATAAAAATGGATCTAAACATATAAACGCAAAATTTCAGATTTAGTATTTTTCTGTTCCTTTTTAATTTTAAATAGAAAATTTAGTTAAAAATGGAAAAATATATTTTATTTTAGAAATTCAAAATAAAGTTCATTTAATTTAAATAAAAATTATTTGCTTCAAGTAAAATATTTATTTGATAATAGTCGATTATTATTTGAATCAAATAAATTTTTTTTCTACTTATAAACGCCAAAACCCTATATTAGAATAATTTTAAAAATCCATTAGTATATAAAGAACTCTCTAAATCTGAATTAGTAAAAATGTTTACTAATTTGAATTCGCCGTTTTGAAAATTTGGACAAATAAAAATTTGGACAAATAATAAATTCGGACAAATAAAAAAACGTACAAATAAAAATTTGGACAAATAAGAATTCGGCGTTTTAAAAATTCGTAAAAATAAAAATTTGGTCAATATAAAATTTATACAAATAAAAATTTGGAAAAATAATAAATTCGGACAAATAAAAAAACGTACAAATACAAATTTGGAAAAATAAAAATTCGGCGTTTTAAAAATTCGGACAAATAAAAATTTGGACAAATAAGAATTCGGCGTTTTAAGAATTCGTAAAAATAAAAATTTGGTCAATATAAAATTTATACAAATAAAAATTTGGAAAAATAATAAATTCGGACAAATAAAAAAACGTACAAATAAAAATTTGGACAAATAAGAATTCGGCGTTTTAAAAATTCGTAAAAATAAAAATTTGGTCAATATAAAATTTATACAAATAAAAATTTGGAAAAATAATAAATTCGGACAAATAAAAAAACGTACAAATAAAAATTTGGAAAAATAAAAATTCGGCGTTTTTAAAAATTCGGACAAATAAAAATTCAGACGAATAAGAATTAGGCGTTTTAAAAATTCGTACAATTAAAAATTTGGACAAATAAAAATTCGGCGTTTTAGAAATTTCAGATTTAGTATTTTTCTGTTCCGTTTTAATTTTAAATAGAAAATTTAGTTAAAATAGAAAAATATTTTATTTAGGAATTCAAAATAAAGTTCATTTAATTTAAATAAAAATTATTTGCTTCAAGTAAATGTTTATTTGATAATAGTCGATTATTATTTGAATCAAATAAATTTTATTTCTACTTATAAACGCCAAAACCCTATATTAGAATAATTTTAAAAATCCATTAATATATAAAAAACTCTCTTAATCTGAATTAGTAAAAATGTTTACTAATTTGAATTAGTGACTCTCTTTTTGCTTGAGAATTAGATAAATTTTACTAATTGTTAGTAAAAGTTACTAATAATTAGTAAAAGTTACTAATAATTAGTAAAATTTTATTAATTCAGAAGCAAAAAGTGAGTCACTAATTCAAATTAGTGAAACATTTTTACTAATTCAGATTCAGAGAGAAAGGGGGAAAAAAAAAGTTTTTAAAGAAGATTAGTACAAATATATATGTATTCATTTCTCAAGTAAGATCAGAGAAAGTTTTCGATTCAGAAAACGAATGAACGATTCTAGTTTATACCTATATACGAAATTGATAAAAATTATTTTCAATTATAACTTTTCTCATTTAATATTTAATGTCATTTTCAAATATCCCTATATCATTCGTAATCTCTATACATTAATCATAATTTTATGTTTTTTTTTTATTTTTTTCAAAATAATAAATTTCTGCATTAATACAAAATAAATTTTTTTTTTTAATACACAGAAAAAAAGACTCAACATCATTTTCTTAAAAATCGTATTTGCTAGAAGTCATTATAATAATTGCATTTATATAGAAATCGATGGGGGAAAAAAAAAAATTATATGTAAAGTAATAAGCGACAAGTGCTTCATCATTGTTGAAAAATAATAACCGATACCACATTTTATCAGCAATATATCCGATATGAAAATGTCTAACCACTCATTGAGAGAGAGAGAGAGAGAGAGAGAGAGAGAGAGAGAGAGAGGGGGGGGGACAGAAATAAATTTACATTTTAACCCATAAAATAAAAGTGCTCACACGCGATGAATTAATTGACGCGCGGCAGTTCGATAGCAATAATGTTTTTCGAAGCTTTTCCTTTTTAGTTATTTAAATTTTAATTCAGCCTGATACATATATATATTTTGATGATAACGACCCAATTGTTTTATTAAATTTCTTTAAATATAACGAGGATTATTAAATTATAGACATTTATTTCGATATATTGTTTTATTAAAAATTAATAATTATAATAAATATTAAATTTCAATGGTGAAAAATTCAAAATTATCTAATTAAATTTTTAAAAGTGAAAGAGAGAGGGATGAGGGGGGGGGGTGGGGTGGGGTCAGTTACTATGGTCAACAATGTGTAACACACATATGCAAGCATAGAAACAGCTTCCATTAAAGTTGCCTCAGGTGTTAAAGTGTAATAAAAAAGACAACCCCTAGGACATGTTGGCCCATTCGACGGCATCGATTCGCGGAAACAACGTCGTAAAGAACACTAAGTCAGCCTTCCTTTCGCCATCGCATATAAGTAACTTGATAAAAAAAAGGAAAAAAAAAAAAAAAAAAAAAAGTTTCTCTCGCGCGGGCGCTCTACGCACATCTAATATATTGAGAATGAAATAACGAAATTTTCTAGTACGTCGTAAATTTTTTCATTTTATTACATCTCATCTACTAGGGGATTCTTTTTTAAAACACAAATTTCTTTTTTTTTGCTGAAAAAAAGAACCATGAAATGTCAGTAAAAAAAAAAAAATATGCGACTAAATTTTAAATCGAATAGATAACTAATGAATGCGCATAGTATAAAAAAGAAATTTTTTTTTCAAGATTCAAAAAATTTAACCTCTCTAGAAAATGATTTTAATATTTATTTTCATAAAAGAGTTTGTATTTTGTAAATATATTTCTATATGTTTACAAAAATTTTTGCATATAAATAGAAAAAAAAGAGGAATAATAGTTTTTTTTACAATTTTTTTTTTTGAAATAATTATTTAATACTAGAAAATGGAAATAATCATTTCTGACGTTATAAACGTTTAATTTTGTTAGTAGAACAAGTCAATATTTAATCTGACTTTTTGAATTTTTGGTAATTTTATCAGTAGTACAAGTACAAGTACTATTTTCTTTTTTCTCAGTAGTACAGGTAAATATTGTATCAGACATTTAAAATTTTTTCTAGTGTTCTCAGTAGTTAAAGTCGATTTTAGTCAGACATTACAGACAAATTAGAAAATTTAACAGGAAAACATTTAAAAAAATTTCTAGTTTTCGCAGTAGTAAAAGTCGATTTTAGTCAGACATTACAGATAAATTAGACAAATCAGGAAAAATAAATATTTAGTCAGAATTTCTGGATGTTTGAAATTATCTCAGTAGATCAAATCAATATTCGATTCTACTTATTTCGACAATTTTGCAATTTTTTTTCAGTAGTAGAAGCCAATATTCAATCAGACATTTTTTATTTTTTTTCTCAGTAGTAAAAGTAAATTTTGTATCAGACATACTAAATTTTTATAGTTTGCTTAGTAGTAAAAAGTTGATTTTATTCAAACATTACAGCTAATTAAAAAAATCAGTAGTAAAAGTAAATATTTAGTCAGACTTTTTAAATTTTTTCAGTAGTGTAAGTAAATATTGTAGCAGACATTCTAAATTTTTTCTAGTTTTTTTTAGTAGTACAATTCGACATTAGTCAGACATTACAGCTAAATGAGAAAATCAGTAGTAAAAGTCAGTTATTTAGTCAGACTTCCAAAGTTGTTCGGAATTTTCTCAGTAGTACAAGTCATTATTTACTTCTACTTATTTTTAACCATTTTTAATTTTTCAGTAGTGCAAGTACTATTTTCATTTTTTTCAGTAGTACAAGTAAATATTGTATCGGACATTTTAATTTTTTTCTAGTTGTCTCAGTAGTAAAAGTCGATTTTCGTCAGAAATTGCAGAAAAAAATCAGTAGTAAAAGCAAATATTTAGTCAGTCATTCTTAATTTTTAAAAAATATTTTCAGTAGATCAAATCAATATTCGTTTCTACTTATTTCGATATTTTTGCAATTTT